ATATATATATATATATACACATAATATACATATACCAGACCTGATATATGTACCTTGGTGTCCGTAAAACGCGTCAATTCGCGCGATGCTTACATTAAACGCATGAATAACGCTGATCGATGAAGTCGCGCAAGTGTTGTAGACGAATATCTTTCGTCATGAATCGATATTTTCTCGGAAACTCTTTGCTGCCGCATTTCCCGAGTTCACGGTGCTTTTATCCATTTCTAAGGATATCCGGTCACGGAAAACGGTTTCGCGACCACACGTACTGTTAAATTAACTCGCACTTACACTGGACTGAACGTTGAGCTCTTTGGACCGTGAATTTTTCATCCAGTGCAACGTTTACACGCACACAAAGAGAACGCGAATTGAAATGATCGTTTTTCTAGTAATAAAATATAAATGTTAATAAAAAAGATAAATAAAGTTTAAAATAATACAGAAACAAAAACTAATAAATATCTATTTAAATTAGGATTAATTTGAATTAAAATTCAAACAATAGAATTAAAGGTTTGAGCTGAATCAAATTAAATTTTAATAGATATAATTAAGTAGCAAATATTAAATTACAAAAAAGTTATACTAAATAATGGAAATAATGTTATAACAATATAAAATATTTCAATCCTTATTGAATATCATTTTCAATGTCGTACGATAAAAGAGATAAAAAAAAACACAATGTATATAATTATAGTATAATTATAAAGCTATAAATAATAAATTTCTCACAATAATTGTCGTGATGATTTCAAAATGATAACATTTAAGAAAATAATATATCTCGAAATTGATAGAAAATCTATTTTATAAAATACTCTCGAGAATCGAAGTATCAGCGTATTATGTTAATAATATTGATGAGAACTTTTCAACGAGAACCTTTTCAATAAATGTATACTTATCGAAGCAAAGAAAGGTGAAAATAAAGTAATGAGAAAAGTGAATATGATAAAATTAGTAAAATACCTGGAATGCTTGTATTTTATAAAATGTGAGTGAAATAATAACGAGGAGAAAAGTGTTCTTGCTGACGCCAATCATATCGAAATTGACAAGAAAATCTCGAATAAACTTGCACTCGTATTTCATAAAGACTGCGTGAGAAGAAACGTGCAAACTGATAACAACTTGAAACGTCAGAAATTTTATGTCCTAACAAGGAAAGTTATATTTTTCTTACAATGTGTAAGGAAAAATTATTGTAATATTATAATATACATTTTTTTTCTTATTATAACTTTCCTTATTGATACATAAAATAAATATATAACTGAAAAAATTTACTAATAAATCTTAATATATAATTTCTTTAAATAGTATCATAAGTAAAGATTTAGTTACAGTACTAATTAAAGAAATATATATTAATACTTAGTAAATTTGTTTACTGTGAATAAATATTTGCTCAATAAAAAAGATGGATAGTTAAATTAAATTAGTGATTCTTGTATCAAATAAATATTAATATATATTAATCTTAATAAATATTTACTAAAAAATATTGAAAAGAATTAAAATTTAGTATTTTTAAAATGTATACAGGATCTAGTTATCGCATTTCTTTTTAAGAACGTGTTCCTGAAACAATTTTTGGTTTTGTGATTGGAGAATTTTAGTCGCTATTAATTTAAAAAATATTATAGCCTCAACATTTTTGTATTTTTGACTTAAAATTATCACAAGATGTGTTCTTAAAGAGGTAATGTAATAGTTGCAGGATACTTTCTGTACATAAATATTTCATGAAAGCAATATAAGATCATTAGTGAAATGAATAAGGACAATGATAGAGAACAATAATATGAATGTTCTCTGTTATGAGATAATGATGTAGTAGCAAAAAGTTACGTTAAAATTAAGTATATATAATAGATAAGAACCTAGATTATCTGATAACTTTGCATCAGCTGAGGCAATAATGTCACCTTATACAGCTTTACATTAATTTTGTGACTTTTGCATTTTGCGAAAACTGCTTATGATTATTCTGAATATTTAATGATACATTACGTTAAATTCTGAATACATTTTATATAAAACTATACAAAGTTATTAATATCTGTATAAAAATTTTAGGTATTTATAATAATTCTACATTTAGCTCGACATGCGATTCGTAGCTGCTGTTCGGAAATAAAATTATATAATCTTGTTAATTAATCGCGGGCAAAAAACTAATGTATGCCATAGAACGTAGTTTGTGCATATCACGAAGATATCATCTAATAACTAAACTAATATTAAAAAATAGATTGTACATATGTCTTACGTGTAACAGGAGAAAATAAATCACTCGCTAGTTTGATGTGATTGACTGTTCGCAATGTATTTCACAATCAATAATATAAAGTGGCTTCACCTTCACCTTATAGTCAACGCACTCATTCACGCACATCATCTTTCGTAGAAATTATATAAAAGGTCCGCTTTCTTAAATCAAGCGATGATTGTACTTCAAGGACTGCGTAGCGCGGATTATCGATTAGTCCTTTACGTGCAAGGCTATTGTTAATATTAATCGGTTCATCGGATTAGCGCGGCTTTTAGATTGATTAAATTATACTTGTGTACGTGAGGCACGCAAATAGACCTTGATCGAAAATTATTAATATTTCTTTAATATTTCTTTAATGAATAATTCATAATCAATTATTTTTGATACTGTGTATTTAAATATCTACTTTTTTCTTTTACAAACTTAGAATCATATGTTTGCTATAACGAAAATATTGCATTTTTTATTAAAATTTTGTTATAAGAAAATATGCACCTCGTAAAAAAGTTACATGAAATATTTGTACTTTTTAAAATGTATATTTCTTTATATATCTTATGCTACTTTATGCTAAGAAATAAGGAAATATTTTTCTATTTCCATGCTAAGAACTTATAAATTATTATTGCATCTAGTAATTGCATCTAGTATTGCTCTTCCAAAAATAGCAATTTCAGAAAAAAATGGGTGTACGCAGCAAGAAAATATTACACGTATATGCTATATACCTATATCGTCAGTTTTTTGTTCTTCTTTTATTAATTACAGTTCAAAGCTCAATTCGCATGATGAATCGAATGGTTGCGTTACTAGTGGCAGCTATAATTGCTGTTACAGCTATACATGCGGAAGAGGTATGTATAATAATTCAAATATTGCATATATTAATCCATTTCCGTAATAATAAATAAATCAAGTTTCCAATGCATTATAATGTATGCGAATTATTATCGTGATAAGCGTTGATTATAATTGGTAATGTGATATAGTTCCAAATTAGATAGCAATCATTATGTGACATTCATGCATGGTGATTATAGTGCAACGAACAAATCGGAGAATATATAAGTGTGCTCTTAAAGTAAAAAATTTTATCTTTGAATTATCTCTGTATTAATGTAAAGCTTAAAGAAGAACATTTTGAGAATATCTCGAAAGTTATAATTATTAATTTTATTGGAGAAAATATCATTTTACTTTTTTGTTCTTATTTCAGTAATATTTTCGCTTAATTTTTAATTAAAAATAAAAAAAGTAAAATTATTATATAAAAATCAAGGATCTAAGGGAAAGAGATCTTAATTGAATTAAAAAATTAAAAGATTTTAAAAGATGATATCTAATTAAAAAATCCCCTTTAAAAAAAAGAAATTTTGTTTTCATTGAGTAAAACTCTTTGCTATTTTTCGAAAGCACTACAAGCTGTTAGTAAGTATATTGATCGTATTAAATCGATTCGATTAGGAATTGGTGGCGGTCGTCCATCTGGTATCATTTTCCTCAAGAAATGTCACGGGTAACTTGAAGATTGTTCAAACTCCCCTGGACGGACCCGTTACAATTACTGGCAAGATCTTCGGACTCACAGAAGGATCACACGGTTTTCATGTGCATGAAAAGGGAGATTTGAGTGAGGGTTGTAAATCCGCGGGAGCGCACTTTAACCCTGAGAACGTGAGCTCCTATAGCAGCCTATCTTTATATAATTTTCCTGTGCGATCCATAATAATTAATTCGGAATTAATTAATTATCACAAGTATAAAACACTTTCAATTTAAAATTTTTGAATTTTCTTAGAAAATACAGTAAGGAAAGAAAGACTAACAAAATATTAAATTATGAAAATAAATATTATTTTTCAATAAAATTATTTTTAATTTATTTTTCGTTAGATGTAGAATGTTTATATCAATTTATGGAGATGTTTTATACTTAATGTCAAGACTTCTTTTTTCTCTTTTTATTATAATGTATAACTTTTAAAAAATTTTTATTTTTAATAAAAATTCTATCTCTTGTTCTTATTTTCTTATTTATGATGAAGTTCTCTGCTTTTTAACTTCTTTGCTTTATGATAGTTTTTCATTAATACTACTTTTTCAACTACTTCGTGCTATTAACTTGTTAGAACACTCACGGCGCCCCGGAAGACACTGTCAGACATGTCGGCGATCTAGGAAATATCGTGGCCAATACTGAGGGAGAAGCGATAATAAATATTACTGACAATATCATTTCGCTGAGAGGATCGAATAGCATCGTGGGACGGTCCATAGTTGTACATTCTGATGAAGACGATCTTGGCAAGGGCAATCATTCTCTTTCTTTGACAACCGGAAATTCTGGCGATCGCTGGGCCTGCGGTGTCGTTGGCATCGAGTAGGTTACGGCTTTACAAATATATTTCTGTTATATTTATTTGCATTTTGTGTTATTAAATTTCCATACGATTTTTTATATTGACGTATTTTCTTCACATAATATAAAACTTACAACCCTTAATTCTCATGTAGCATCTGTTATTCATGATGCAATAATTTTCAAATTTCCGATAAAAACATTAAGATGTTTTAATTTTATTTGCTTATTGCTTATTTGTCACTAAATTCTTATATGTTCCAACTTTGTTATATGTATATAAGTAAATGTTAAACAAAAATATTACTACAGATAACAATAACAGATAAAAAATATACGCATTTAGTGCAACTTTTCTAATAGACTAGAAATTGAAATTGAAATTAATAATTGGATTGGCATTTTATCTACCAAAGCAAAATATTATTTATTTAATATTGATTTTCTTTCTTCTGATTGGTTAAATTCCAATATAATCTCAATCTCAATCTGTAGGTACAGGCGATAATGATATTTGTAGTATATATATATTTTATAATATTTTATGTATAAGTAATATCTCTATTATATTATTATAATGATGATATTAATATTATTTATACATGATTATACGGAATAATCCTAATATCTTTTTACGAGAAAAATAAAGTTAAACAGTTGCACCTTACTGTGTTCTGCACATTACAGAAAAATCTGAGGTACTTCGAAGAAAAATGTCAACAGTCGACGGAAGAGAAACAAAAAAGGATCAATACTACTCGTAGATTTGATTAGGAATTTGCTCTGTTTAGAATTGACTCAATATTGTTTAAACGTTACTTTCTATGTGATACTTTCTTTATGAAATGACTTGTTGTATACATTTTATATGATTTGTAAAAGAATTTTGTCATTTGTAATAAATTGAAATGGATGTAGAATTATAATAGGAACGACACGTACGCTATGTAAATGTGTTGTAACTTTTTTTCTGTTTGTTGATTCGTAGCGTGTCTATGTTTTGTACGTAAATTGTTGATGATACATTAACAAATGTTTTGTTCCTCTGTGTTATTTCCTCAATATATCCCCTCTTGTTCTACCCGATCGCTTTTTTGTGCTTTGATAAGAAAAATATCAATAATATGTTTTTAAAAATATATATTAAAAATATATACTATGCTGTAAGCGCAATATGAAAATGCCTCTATAAATTATTTCGCAATCATACACGTTTAGATCTAAATAATACGCGCATTATATACTTTTGTATAGTTAAGAGAGAAAGCCGATTAATTTGCATTTTTCTCGGACTATGTTTCCATGTTAATAAAGTGCCGTGATAATATTTTAATAATTTATGAGCTTCCTCTGCAAAATTGTAATAAAGTCTGGAAAGTTAACATCGCCGTTTTCCATAGCGATTATTCAAAAGTAATATCTGAACAATCATATAATAAATATCATAAATGTTGCAACTTATATTAATCGCAAAAATTACTAATATATTTTCTCTCTCTCTCTCTCTCTCTCTCAGAATACAGTAAAAGATTTACAATAACAATATATAATTATTAGAAACAAAATATAAAATTTAAAAAATAATTTTTTAATAAACTTAATTTTTAAGCATTACGTTATTATTTAGCAGAGTCTCAGTTACCAACATTTTTAACATATTTTATGTTTATTTTTTGTGTCCATTGCCATTATATTTGTTGTTTGAGTAATACCAATAAATATTAATACTTCCAAGAATGTTTGCAATATTTATTCTGCTTGTGACTACCGTACACAATCGATTCATATAGAATTTGCAATTCAGATTTATGCGATGTGTTGAAGTGTAGTACGTATTTCATTTAAATGTAGATACAAATCTCAGGTCTCACCGTGTATTATTGCATTTGCACGTAATTAGATACGTGGCAGACACATGCAGGCGCGTTTGCGGCGCAAAATTTCGCAATAATGTTCAAACGTCGTGCATTTCGCATAATGTTGCGCAATTCAATTGAGAATACAATTATCGATTTCTTCAATGTTGTTGTTTCTAGGTCATCATACGGCAAGTGGAATTCTGGCTCATTTACTACGCCAAGCGTATCGATCCTTGTGATATTCTTTCTCATCGCAATACATCAACACCTCAAGTTCTAACTCCCATGGGAGCTTCAAGTAATTCCGTGTCTTGTTCGAAGATAAGTAAATTACATTTGCATCTTGAGCTCACAAATAGCGAATGCTGCGACCATCGATTATTCGTAACAATATCAGCAGTAACAAAATTTTAACTACCGCTACAGAACGTCATAGAATAGCGTTATATCAGCGATCGTTAATTATTTTGACGTAAATGTGACTTACTGGCCGATTACTATAAATCTCATTGCAATAAACCGACCAGTAGTTCGATTTTTCATGTATTGATGAATATCAATCTGATATATTTACAATATATCAGATTGATATATCGAAAAATAAAGTTTTTCAATTAAATTTTTTAGTTTAATTTAACTAATAAATTAACAATGAAAAATTTCGTATTTATATATATATACATACGATTTAATATTGTGCAATATTAATATTTAGCAATAATACCTACAATTAGAAATATTTAATTCACCATAAGTCTGAACGTAAAATGATTTGCTCGAAACACATCTAATATAATATATGTACTATAATTATAAATGTACTGTGAATTACAATACTACGTATAACAATTTGCTATTTTGCATCTACTTAATTAATTAATTAATTAAAAACGTATATAATAAGAATCAACTTATAAGTGTTATTTGTTATAGGATAGTCAGTTTCATTATTTGTATCCTTAATATAATATGAGGCTACAATTTCTTTATATTTGTAACATACATTTTTGCAGCATCTAGATTTATACATATAATTGTAATTCATTAACAGCTATGTTCCTCGATTTAAAAAAAAAATATATATATATATGTTAATCGATAAATTCACTTTATTCTATGTACAACTTTTTCGACTGATGTTTCTTTATTGTAAATGTTTGTGTAATAAAGCTGTATTTAAAATTAAAATAAAATTCTTGATTAATTGTAAAAATCATCATCTTGTTTTTTACTATGATCAATCTCAACTAATTGTAAATTTATTATCTAATTGTAAAATTATTTATTAATAAAATTTTAAGTAAAGATTAAGAAATCTTTTTAAATAAAAATTGGAGTACGAGTTTAGTATAAACACAGATATATGTGTTCAAATTTAAACATTTTAAATTAGACTGTTCAACTTTCTTATGAATTAATTATTTTATTAAGAATAATTACGCACTTGTTGCGTTAGACTCTTATACTCTATATTAGTTCTATTCTAATTTTGTATTTATTTCAATTTTAAGAATTTTTATTTGTTCGTTTAAGTCATTAAGATGTTATTAGTAATATTAACACACTCTATTAATAATTCTATTAACTGTATAATAAATAACACATAAATATCAAAAATATTTTTTTACATGGAATATACGATGAGCAGAAAAGTTGGAAAAAGAGGTTTTCATGCAGCGTTGAACTTTAAATTATAACGTATTATCACCAGGCATGTACCATTACGTGCAGCTACCTGAGGAATGAGCGTAATATCTATATTTACCATGTTCTCATTAACTTATATAGGTAAGTACGTTTCCACAGTACGGCACGAAACTGCGGATTTACGCGAATCCTAACTGTATGTGAGGAATAAATTTTTCTAAAAGTTGATAGTTCTCTTTTCTTCCCCTGATGGATTTCTGACTCATAAGAACAGGTCACAATATCATGAAGTAAAGTTAATAGGTACTGAAGAAATGTACTATAGTAGAACTTAGTGACTATCCATCCCAAATTAAGATGAATAGTCCTAAATTTTAACTCTGCATTTCATTTATTACAATGCATCTCAAATTTTGCCTCAAATTAAGAACACGATTATAAATTGTTGCTTTTTTAAGTCCGACCGAAATTTCGGTTTCGGTTTCGATCAGTTTCAGATAAAAAAATCAAGGTTTCGATTTGATTTCGATTTCGGCCGAAATTAAAAGAAAATTTCGATGGATAAACGAAACTATACAAATTTGCAATACGCCGGTGAGGGTTCAAAAAACTGTTCGTTTTTAATTATTTACTCGTTGATTAAACTTAATATTATTTGAGTATACAAACTTTGATGTGATCTTAATAATAACTTTGATTTCTTTAAAAGTTGAAGATGAAATATTATCATATTATTATAGTTAGATATTTTAATAAAATCTTGTTTTTTAAAGAATATATAAATTTATCATGATTTCTGAAAATCATACGGTCTCTGTAAAATTAATCCAAAAATGTCGATTTCGACTCCAGCTGAAAAAAAAGTGACTCCGTTAGCTTCTCTCTTTCTCTCTCTCGCTTCCTCTCTTTCTCTCTTTTAATAAGACTTATCTAAGTTTTAGTTTCGTTTCCATCATAAATTAAATGACAATTGAATATTCATTTTCGATTTCGGTCGGAGATCAAAATGTGGTTTCGGTCGGACTTTACTTTTGTAAAAATAATAAATATGAAATAATAAATGAAAATAATAAATATAATTATATTTATTATAATTTTCAATTAATATATGAAAAATTTTCTGATTTTTTTTTATTTTTAAAAAACCAGATATTTTATATTCATAAAATACTTAAAATATTTAGTAGAAGTATATAATTTTTAAAATTAAAATATGCTCTCATAACTTACGTAATTTTTGTTGTGATCTCGTGTTATATTTTAAGTGTTATTACAAATATAATAATATTATATTGTTTATGTTTTGTTAGCAATTATATAAAAAATATTTATTAAAGTTTAATTATGACAATTAATATTAAATTTTTTAAAAAGGTTTTTCTTTGTCTTTAAGGAGTTGGTCATCTTAATGTAGATTCCTATCAGATGGATCGAATCGTGAAAATAAAAAGTCGGTATGCTCGTAAATAAATCGCCTGTGACCTACTTTGCACCTTCTACTAGGTATATGTAAATAACGTGGTATTATTGAACTGTGAAGAACTTTCGTTTAACGTGATGTTCACGCGCGGTTGTCTAATTTCTGATAAAATTATAGCGGATTGCATCCGTGGAGAACGCTTCACGCGCAATGCAATTCTAAGTAATGCATTTGGTTAGGTAATTGAAATATTTATATGGAACAACATTCTGCCATTCCGTAAATTGATGAAATAACATGCATTATTGTCACTTGTATGAGAAAAATACATTGTTAAATCCATAATGTCAAATTATACCCAATTTCAGTTACTTTTAATCGTTTTTATTTTATCACTTTTTTTTATTTGATTAAGGGGATTTTAAAGACGACTAGTCACAGTGTAACTTACACATACAAATGATTTACGTGTCATTATACACATCACTATGTATTACTACTACAATATCTCATGCACACATACATATAAATTTTTATATAACAATAATATTTTAATTAGACGTTTTAATTAGACATTTAAATTGAATTCTACATTGGAACTCCACATTGTTTCTTTGTGCAAACTATTGGTTTGAAGACTACTATTTCATAAATATAGATTGCACTGCTTTTATATGAAGTTGTTATGATGTGACATATCTAGAGCGTCATATTGCACTGAAAAGAATTTTAATTTTGAAATTTGTTGATGTTCTTGGCATAAATTCTCTATCTCACAAACATATATTAATGTGTATATTTTAATTCTAAAAAAGGATTTTCAAATCTATAAAACAGGCAAAAAGTAATTATTATACAAACATTGTATGGTTAAGGCCCAGTTGCAATATGAATTTGATTTTAAACAAGACTTAAAACTCTATCTGTCTCGTTTTGCCAAAAGCCAAAAAAAGACAGAGACAGAAAAAAAATTTTAAGCCTCACTTAAAATCAAAGTAACATTGGTGCAATCGGATCTTAATCGGTAATACAGATAGCTTTAGGATTCCCTTAATTAAAACAATGGAATTAAATTTAAATAAAAATAATTTATTTCTTTTAAAATAATAAAGTTAAAAAATTTAATTAAAAAATGTATTAAATTTGACTCAAAGAATTTTGCACCAATCGTATATGAAATCGATTCCCAATGAAATCAATTTTCTTCATATATTGTAGCTTATGACTTGCTAAAACATATAAGATTTAAAGCAAAAAAGTGAAGTTTTTGATTCACCTATAGTCGCCAACTTCTTACCATAAAATATTCAATAACTCTGGAACGACTGACTCAAAATGAATAAAGTTATAGTGCTTTGAAAAAGCTCTCAACAAGTGCTATAAGAAAAGAAAAAGAAAGTAGGGGATTTCGCTTAAAAAGTCTGAGAAAAGTCTTTGCCCTGGCCTTAGCGATGCCATCCAAAGTTAAACTGACGAAGCCAGTGACTAGGTCTTTTTATGTATAAAACTATATTTTGTTATAGAATATATAGTGCATTTCCTTCTAGTATAATCTAGGATCAAGATCAGGACATGGACGTGATAGGTAACAACCAGATCTATTATATTATCGAAGCTCAGACATATATCATAATTTCTATTTAATTCCTACATGATTTTTGTATATATTTAGTATGAGATATAATTGCATTTTTGTATCAACGAAATGAATGCTAATGAATATAATAATATTTTGTGAAATATTTCAATCTCATAAAAAAATAAAAAAATGATTCCAAGGATTTGAATGTCTAATGGGTATATGTAGAACATAATGAGATGGTCTCATTTAGTCCGTACTAAGAAAAATAGTTAGTTTAGTTGAAAATGGACAAACCAGAAGATTTTGATTTAAATTAATTAGAATTTCGATTATTTCAACTAGAATTTTAATAAATTTAACCAGAAAATTTTTTAGTTGATTCAACCATAGTTAAAAATAAAACTTTTTAATTAAATCTACTAAAATTCTAGTTGAAACTGCAATTCTGATCGATTTAATAAGAATCTTTTGATGTGTCTATTTTAACCAAATCATTTTTCTTAGTGTATCTTCTTCAAATGTCATACGCTATCTCAGCACGTAAGTGCTTCCCTCTTATATACCTTTGCGCGTGTACTGATCGTACACAACGTATATGTTGGATCTATAATTCAAACGTCGATTCCGAACGGCAATTTTTGGTAGGAAGGTTTCCTGGGCAAGTATACTACTCGCCCACGCGTGGCAATAGCAAATCACATTATTCGGTGATTTGTCATTGCCTTCCGAAAAAAGCTACGAGTGTAAGAAAATTTCGATTCTGCCGGGGTTCGAATCTCGAGTATATCAGGCCAGTGCGCTGTCTGTCACACTCGCGTTTTCTCAATGTATAGGATATTCTAAACAGTCTTTGGATTATAACAGATAGTTCCCACGATATGAATAACGGCTCATTAAATTTATTCCGTTCATTGATTTTCATTTATAATTTACCGATTTTTTTATAATTTTGATGTTTTATATTCAATTGTTAAAAATCTTAATGAAATAATACTGAAAGTGGGGTCAATTGAAATTAAGGAAGAAGTCAATTGATATTAAGGGGATCCTAAAGCCGTCTGTATTACCGGCTAATCATTTTGTATAACAATTACTTAATTAATTAATTAATTAATTTTTGTATAACAATTACTTTTTTCCTCTTTTACAGATTCTTGAGATTTTAATTTCAAAATTTTTTATCATTCTCGCAATAAATTCCATCTCACAGACACGTATTAATTATACTTTAATCCTGGAAAAGGATTTTCGAATCTATAAAAGAGAAAAAAATAAATCCTTGCAAAGCATGCAATTTCAGAAGAAATATTTTTTTCTACGCTTTGAATCTTAATTCCACAAACTCAATATTGTTCATTTAAGTAATCTAAATCCCGTCTCACGCTTATTTTTAATCTACAAACTGTAAAAGAATTTTTATATCAAGCAAATGTTAACCTCAGGTGACAGTTGTATTTGTCAGAAAAAGTAAAAACTTTTTAATTCTTTTTCAATTTTCTCGTGAAATCGTATTTTCTGGGATTTCTTTTTACGCATTCCTTAATTTTATAAAAAAATTTTACAATCCGTAAAGTGAATTCGAAGATTTCTTTTAAAAGGTAATCATGGTAAAATAGGACGACTTTAAGATTCCTCTTAAGGAGAGGAATTATCCGATTTCTAAACGATGAAATCTTTTTTATGTATGTTTCATGTGTGTATGTTTTGATATTTTGATTGAATCATTTAGTCAATGATATTAAGCAAACGTTTATTTTAAACAAATCTAATGGAAAAGTCGTAAAATTAAAAGTAGCCACAGTTTTGTCAAAATCTGATTTTTTATTGCAATTCTTTATTACTTAATAGCCTGGATAATGAATAAAATAAGCCAATTTTGACTAAATCAATGAAATCTTTTATATGCATGTTTTTTTTTATGTGCAAATAATTTTTATGTGCACATTTTTTAATTTCAAGTTGAACTAATAGAAAATATTGAAAATTGCAATCAAAGATTAGATTTTGACAAAATTGTGCTACTTTTATGTTAATGAAATTTTCAACATATTCTTATTAGATCAGATCTTATTGATTCAGTACATTAAAACATTCAAGAAAACATGCACATGAAAATGTTTTATCGTTTAAAGCAAAAATTCGATAATTTTATCCTCTCCTTTCAATGTGCATTTCATTATTGTTTATTACAATTTCAGTAAAACATTTTTATCAATTGAGTTACCATTGTTTCTTTGAAGTGTGACAATGTAATATTAATAAAATTATATGACCAAATGAGATAAATCCGGAGAAGGGAGATTAGTAAACGAGAAACATAAAATTATTTGTTAATAAATTAATAAATCTTATTAATAGTATTAATATATTAAATATTTCTTAAGACAATACAAATTGCTTTTAATTATTTAACTACATAACGTAACGAGATATTAATTAAAGCACTGATCGTTTGAAATTGTTTATTATATCGGCACAAAATTTCTATAAATCTCAAAAGACAAATCTTTGATTTATAAAGCCTACATCTAAAGAAACTTATTAAAAAGATTACTAATTTAATTAATTTAGAAGTCACAAAAGGTCACAAACTGTTAACGTTTTGTCAACATGCAAAGTTATGTCATAAAGATAAGTCCACTGAAGAAACCTGCTATATAATTTTTTGAATCGTGCGTCAATTTCGAGCGAAGAGATGTTGTGATTGAAGCGAATTGTCTCAGATCGATGGTCCGATGGTAGTTACGAATTAAAGAGGACTCTCTCTCTCTCTCTCTCTCTCTCTCTCTCTCTTCTCTCTCTCTCTCTCCCTCTCTTTATCATAAAGCAGAGAATAGAACCATAAACTCAAACCGGAGGATATTGTTTCACTGTAGAAATTAACTATGTTTTTCTACAAGATAATACATTCATAAATATTGATTGTATCTTTTGTGTCTTTTAACATTCTCTAGAGGTTTACTTTGGGGGGTGTCAATGGCGAGGGAATAAGTGACCATGGTTACCGTCGACAATCACCTTCGCCTAGAACTGCAGACCAATAACGAATTTGTAACGCAGGATTTCGACCTGGAAACCGCGCTCCCGCCTTCGGTAGCCTCGAAGCCGAGGATTTCGATCGAAACCTTCCCTGTAGGCTTGGACAAAGGAGCACCATCTAGATCGTTCTCATTGACCGTACGGCTGCCGCACGGAACGCAAGCCGATCGACTATATGTCTGAATTTTTAAGTTCCCGCTAGAATTATTAATTCTAAACAATAATAATAATAATAAAATCAAAGTAAAGTTTAATTAATTTTAACGGCAAATACGAAGAAACATCATGGAATCGTGTGGAATGAATGTTATCAAATACATCCTTTTTATCTTCAACTTAATTTTCGCGGTAAGTAAAACGAGTTGGAAGAATAACAGTTGGAAGCATAATAGTTTTATCAGGATTGATCTTGGTGGCAATTTTTGAAGTGAATTTGAAGGAAATATTCTTTTATAGGAAATATCTTTTTTTTTTATTTTTATATTCTTATTTTTTGAGATTTACGGATATATCCGGTTTTTATAATTTTTCTGCTTGAAATATTTTCAGGTACTTATATAATGCGCAAAAGAATTCGATTATTTATGATGTACTTTTTAAATTATAGTTTAATATTTTCGAAAATTTTATTTATACACTGAGAAAACATAATACAAATTTCAACAAATGTTTATGTGAGTATGCCAACTAAAGATTTATTTACAGTAAATAAGCATTTGTTAATAAAAAGAAATGATAAATCATGCTTGTGTAAGTGTGCGCGCGCATGTGTGTGTAATATGTGTAGGCTAAACCAATCTAATACTTTCCTTTTATACTTAAATACATAAAAATTTGTATTATTTCAATTCGTATTATTTCTAATCAAGAAATGGAAGTAACTCGCTACTTCCCATACAATAAATGACTGTTTGTCAACTTATAGTCGACTTTTTCCAGTCGGCATATATTATAGTCGACTGTTGAAAGTCGACTTAAAATCAACTGTTCCCAGTTGACTTAAAATCGACTTTCAACAGTCCATTATGAATCGATAAGTTAACTATTTGCTGGCCATTAGTCTACTATGTTTTAGTCAACTGTAAATCGACTTAAAGATGACAAAAGCTTTATTCTTCACGCACGCACGCACACGAAATATTTTATTATTAAAGTTAAACAGATTAAAAAGGCCAAGAAATTAATGAACAATTAA